TTTAGGATCTCTTCTATAATCTTGTACATTATGCATATATATACATTAGCTTCTGTCATGACTTAATGAGATAAATATAAAAAAATAAAAAATATGAAAATTACTTAGAAATATTTGGACACCAAACAGTTTTATAAAAATACATATAAAATGTTTTATCTCTTTAAAGTTTATGAATTAAAGGAATAACTATTTCTTCATCAAAATGAGCAAAAGAACAAAAATTTCCATAATTACATTTGCTTTCGTTTGAATGACTATTTTATTATTTGCAAAACTTTGTTTTGTATCGAAGAGGATGATATAATTATTCTACTTTATTGTGTATTTGAGGACAATTATATAAATTAATACATTATTTTTTTCGTTTTCTTATAAATATTGACAATTATTTATAGAGTATTAGTATTTTTATGGACATCTACGTTTATCTTCGTATTCAGAATGATAGAATTAGCATTTATTTTTTAAATGTTTCTCCTTTATTTGACAAAATAGTGTTTTAAAATTTGCTATTATATCAATTTAAGGAGAGTTTAAATATTATAAATAAAATTCAGAATTGTTTTATTATTCATTCTAATTAATTATAATACTTTTTTCTATATAAAAGCATTATTATTATAATTAAAAATATAATTATTATTATGACTATTATTATTATGATTATTATTATGATTATTATTACTATTATGATTATTATTATTATTATTATTATTATTATTAATATTATTACTATAATTATTATACATTTTAATTTTAATATTTTTTTGTCGATTTTTAGTTTGTTTGTTTTTTATTTACATTTTTTACTTGAATTTTTTCTTTTTTACATTTAAAATATTTACATTTTGTTATTCTTTATTAAAGAATATTTATTTTTTATTATCTTCTTAAATATCTTAACTGTTTTATTAATAGTCTATCATATTTTATTTATTCATTATTTAAATTTTCTTTATTTTATTTCTTTATTTCTTTTTTTGAAAACTTATTTAAGCAATCGAATTTATATTATTTTGTTTACTAGTTAAATATTTATTTGCAAATGAATTGATTTATAATAAAATGATAATAATATTAATAAAAGTTATTTATTTTAAAACTATTTTAATTTTTATTATTTATTTTTTATATTAACTTTTTTTTCTTTATTTTTTTTCCTTTCAGTCTTTTATTTTTTTATTTTTATTATATAATATTTTATTATTATAAAATTGCTTTTATTTTTAAGTTTTATTATTTATCAAATGTATAGTATTTAATTCTAAATATTTAATAATTTTTTTTTTATTATTAATTCATTAATACTATAAAAGTTATTTTCTAAAGAATTATCAAATTATTTATTTTACAAGATAATTTCCTAAATCTTTTTTAAATAATTATTTATATAAAATGAGATATATAATCTAAATTTCTTTCTAAAATAATTAAAATCAATTATATATAGCCAATTAAAAATATAAAAATATTATTATTAATTTATATTTATTTTTATTAGAAATTAAATAAATATTCAAATAATGAATACATAAGATTTTAAAGAATTAATTAAAAAATATAAAAATAATGATTAAATAATGAACATATTAAAATCAATACAAAAACACATAAAATATTTTTACTTTGAGCATGCTGTATTACTATATGAAGCTATAGATAAAAATTGTTTAGTATAGATGTGCAATATATAAAGTATTTATCTAAACAAACAATCTCCATATTATAATTTTATAATACGTTAGTATTATCAATATAATTCTATTTCAAAATCTTTTAGTGAAAATAACCATATTTTATTAGAATTATTTGGAGATGACAAAATCATAGAATAATTAAAATGCTAGAATGATATAGAATATTTTTATAAATTCTAAAAGGCTTTTGATAATTATCTGAAAATGTAGGCAGAAGGTAAAAGAGTTTCTTAAAAAATAATATAATTTATTAAAGAATGTGACAATATATATGATATTATAACTTAGAATTTAAGTAAGTTTATAGACTATTAAAGTATTGTTATAAATGAAAATCTTATTTTTTAGAATCTTAAATATTGCTTTATTAAAGCATATTCTAATAATATTTATTTAATAAAAGATATTTAAAGAAATGCCATATAAAATATTTTTAATTAAAATAATGAAGAAATAATATTTAATACGTAAGACAAATTCTTTATATAATTAAAAAATAACCAATTATTTCTTTCTAGTGATAAAAACTTTTAAGAAAATTATGAAGACAAAGATTTTCCTATTTTAATTGAAATTAAATAATAAGATTTATAAAATAGTGAATTATTTACTTCAGAATAAAATTGCATTTTAGAAAACTTTTTTTTTACATATGTTGGAGAAGTCATTTTAAATAAAAAATTGGATTAAACTTTAATTTAATAAATAGAAAATTTTCTTTACTAAGATTTATTGTATATTTGTTAAAATAATGAGTCTTTTAAAATAATAGAAACAAAAAATAAATAAAGCATTATTAAATAAATATAGGCCTTAATGCATGCAAAAAAATAAATAAAAGAAAGTAAAATTGTTGATAAATATAATAAACTATTAACTATAATTTCAATAGAAGAAGAATAAAAAATATTAATTCCACATGAATATTTTGATAAAGAATACAAGTTTAAATGTATTTATAATGATGGCTTAGAATTATAAAAATGGCTTCTTCCTAATGAATATGATACAGTTATTGTATTTAATTTTCCTGAAAATAAAACCTAAATTGATTTAATTTCATATTTTAATTTTAATTTAGATGCTGTAATGAGTATATATAAGGATAAGGAAAGTAACAAGTATTTTATTGTAACTAAAAATAAAGAGCATGCTAAGTTTTTTTTTAACTATCTTTAAGATAAACTTTTAGTTCTAGATAATTCGAAAAGAATTGTTGTAAAACCTTCGATTCATGATAATATATGTACGACTAAAACGAATTATATTTTAAAAATTAAGATTTCTTAAGAATGTGTTAAATATGATTAAAAATATGTTTAAGAATAAGTTATTAATACATTTGATCAATTAGTTCCTAATGAATATAGTTTACCAAAAAATAATGTTATATGTTAGGATATAAACCAAAATAATTAAGTTTTACACAACAAATTTTTTATTTATGATGTTTAATTAGCCTTTGATTCCGAAGAAAGAGCTTAATTTATTATTGATTAGTAAAAAAACAAACATGTAACTATTTTATTTTTATTAAAAAAAGATTAAAGGGTCATAAAATAAATTAATTAACTTATTTTAAAATGGATATAGAAAAAAAGAAATAAGGAAAAATATAATTAAATAGAAGTGTATTTTTATATTATAAATTTTTTTTTAATTATTTAGAAAATCAAGCACGCGAATATAAATTAATAATTCATAAAAACGATAATTAAAAAATAATAAATTTATTTGAAGAAGTAAAAGAAACTAAGAATTCAATAATAAATATAATTTTAGAAGGCTAAAAAGATGAAGATATAATGAAAGGAATTTTAGAAATATAAAAATATACAAACCCAAAGCATACGATATAACTAAAAGATTTAAATGAAAAATATATTTTTACTTAAAAAAATGGCTAGGAATATCTTAAAAACTTAAGTTTAAGTTTTCAAAATACATTTGTAAGATATAACTTTGATTCGAACGCATTAGAAATATACACTAAAACTTCTTTTAAAAACGCATAGCCTATTATAAAAGAAATAGAAATTTACTTAAAAACATTTATGGAATAGCTACCTATCCCATTAACATTCAAAATATTTTAAAAAAATAGTGAAAAGCTTATCAAATATTTAAATTAAAAATAAATATAGTACAAATGGATTCAAGACGACCAAATATAACTCTAAATAAAATACAAGTCATACCATGAATAAAATAATTATATAAAAGAATAATTTTTTATCCATGAAAATAATAATTTAGTGAATAATTGTTTAATATGTTTTGATTCTGTAGATTTGATTTCTTTATAATTATGTTCATGCAATTTTACTTGCAAATAATGTGTGCAAAAACATATTAAAAATTCTATTTTATCTTCATTTTCATAATTTCAAAAACAAATAAAATGTCCTTCATGCGACAAAGTACCGATTTCTTTAAATGATATAAGTTCTTTATTTTAAACTTTTGAAGTAAAAGATATTTTAAGAAAAAGAACTAAATCCTGTATTGAAATGCTTACAAACGAATATGATTAAAAAACATTTATTTCTTGCATTTTTCCTGATTGTAAAGGTAGATTCGAAATATCTTAAATCGCCTTAGAAAAAAAGATAGAAATTACTTGTCTTTTTTGTTCAAATAAATATTGTACTTAGCACATACTTAAAGAAAACTTCAATATTCCACTTCATCCAGTACATGAATCATAAATACCTTGCGAAACTTCTATAAAAGATAAAGGAATCAATGATTTAATATATTTAGGTTTCGTAAAATAATGTCCAAAATGCTTTGCTAAATTTTCTCATGAAGAAGGATGTAATCATTTAACTTGTACTGTTTGTAAATCTCATTTTTGTTCTATTTGTAATAAATTATTTCAAGATCCAAAATAAACCTATAATCATATTAATTTAGAACATCCTAAGAAGTTGTTCACAGTAAAAGAAAATTTACATATAGGGAAATTAAACTAAAATAAAACTTAAGTTTAGGCATAATAATAAGGATAGTATGATTAAGAAGAACATTTTTATTTTTATGGAAAAAAAAATGTCGTTCCTAATAAATTATTTTAAAATCTATTCTTTGGGGAAGTCTAGATTGATGCAGAATTATAAGAAGCTATTATGTATGAAAGCGATTGATTTTTTATTTATGTAAGCATTTTATTAATTTTAATTATTATATATTTATAAAAAAAATATTTTTTATTTATAAAATTATTATATTATTGCTTTTTAAAAAATATTTATTCATATGTAAAAAAAAAATTATGGAAAAAAATACATAAAAAAATAATCAAATTAATCCTTTTACAATTGTAGAAATAGGTTTATCTTTAAATTCTGTCAAAGCAAAATAAGAACCGAAAACAGCAATAAGAAATCCAGATAAAAAAGTAGTAAAAAACATTTTATAAGGGAAAACAAAAACAAAAGGTAATTCAGTAAACATTAAAAATTACAAAGTTAAAGTGACTGCTACAGTAATGCCAATAACAGTTCCTATAAATCCACTTGAAAGTACCAAAACACAAGATTCAATCATATAAACTCTTGTAATTTATCTTTTATTTAATCCGATTGCTCTCAAAACCCCAAACTCCCAACTATTTTCTTTAATATTAGACACAAATGACACTAGAATTAAGAAAAAAGAGAGAATAATTGAAATACCAGCAACAACAAGTGAGAAAAGATCAATAAAAAATAAAGTTTACTCAATACTTTCCACTATTTAAGGCACATCAAATAATTATGTGAAATCGTTTTTGAAATAATTTCTTAGTCCATTAGCCAAATCTTCCCTTTCAAATTTAGACAAATTTTTTTTAAATTTAATTAATAAAGATTATTTTGGTATTCCGTAAGAACTTCCTGGTTGAACTTTTTCAAAGAAATATTTAACTTCTGGATTACTTGCATGGCCAGAATAATAATAATAAGAATCAATTATATATTTAAACTATTCTATTCCTGTCAAAGATTCTCCATAGAATTAAATTTATCTATAAGAACTAAATTTAAATCCCGAAAATTTATTAGCCATACATCTAATTTTAGTTCTATATCTTATGCCTGAGAACTCAAGTAAAGCAGGAGTATTTACATCCAAACTTATTGCATATTTAAGTCCTGAAGGTAATATTACATTAATTTCTTCATCCTTATATTTAGAAGAAGTAAAACGTTTTTCAGATTACCCTTTATTAATAATTTTTTTATTAGTATTTGAATTATAATCTACTTAGAAATCAGGAATAGGATTTATTTGGTCTTATTTTCTATATTAAGCATTTGAAATAATTTTAAAGACATCAGTACTTTTCTAAATATTCAGGTTTCCTTCTTAAGAAAAAAGACTTTCTACACAATCATTTACATCATTCCCGTTATTAGATATTGTTTTAAACTTATAATTAGGATCAAACTACGTAGGATAATAAAAATCCAAATAACTGCTTTATAAATAGTTTTTCTCCACTCCTTTAATATCTAAATTCTTAAGGCTTGGGAATTAACTTAAAGAACTTAGTTTAGAGTTTTTAAATTTTGGGAATTCCTTCATAGAAAAAGTTATAAATGAATACCCATTTATATGTGTAGGGTTTCTTTTTATGTATTCTTCCATATATTCTCTCATTCCCCTTTCATCAAGTCCTGTTTTATCGTTAATTAACTAAACCTTAAAATCAGTTCCTAGAGAACTTTTAAGATTATCTTGGATTTATTTACTTTATAAAGAAAAACCTGCTCCAGTAAAAATAAGGAAAGCCAAAGCTATTGTATACATGATAGCTGTTTTGCTGTTTCTTCTTCTATGCCCATTCATATTTTTGACAATTACGATTTCTAAGTGCTTTTCTTTTCTAAAAATACACAAAAAGAGTTTTACGAAAACTCTTTCTACATATTTTTGTGATAAATTCAATAATAGGGTAAATCCAATAATCATCATAATCAAAACAATATTAATAATAGCCAAAAAAAGATCCAACTTTTTAAATACAAAAGCTGCTGGGGCTATATAATAGCAAACGATTCCCATCAAAATAAGAGTAAATGCATTTACAGATTAAGAAAAGGAAATTCCCAATTTTTCCAATTTCTAAACACTCACAGAAATTTAATTGACAACTCTATGATATAAGTCAAGACTATCTCTTAATGTTTTTGACATCGCTCTTTAAATAGGCAAATACACAGAAATTAAAGGAATAAAAATACCCAAGAAAATTGCTAAAGCAATAGCCGACCAATGTAAATCATAAGTAGTTGTCATAACAGCTTTATCAAAAATAATGAACGCAATTATTGAATTTAATAAATAAGCCATCAAAAGTCCTAAGCAAAGTCCTGGAATAGCAAATATTAAACCTTAAATTATCAAAAGATACACCAAACTATTTTTCTAAAAACCAAGAGCCCTTAACATACCGAATTCATATGTTTTTTCTTCCACATCGGATATCATAAGGGAATAAATAAGCAATACTGCAAGCATAAAAAGTAAAAAAATGCTTGTTGCAATCATATTATCAAGGAAAAGTTTCAAAATAAGTAATCCTATAACTATAGTAGAAAGTGGAACAGTACTCTACATTGCTTTCTTTTATCCGTAATTCTTATAAAATTTATTGGAAATGGAAATAATATTCTTCTTAATCACATCCTCGCTATTATAAATTCCCATTCTATTATTAAAAACCATATTGGATAAAACTGCATATTCTTAAATATTAATGCTTCTAATAAATTATTTCAAAGAATTCTACAAACCTGAATTTAGTAAAATATTTACCAAATTAATAGTTTAAGTATTTCCTATATTTTATTGTTATTATTACTATGCTCTTTTCAATTCTTTTTCGAAACCTTCCCAAATATATACTAAAACATCTAACTGATCTACAACAATTACATTTCCTAAATTTTCAGCCCATTTACCATTTGGAGACTCTATTGCTTTTTAAATGGTATAATTTTATGTAAAATTTAATGCCCTCATTACTACTGGAGTAATTTAATCTGCCAAAACTGTAGAATTCAATACAAAATCATCTGGAAGCTTTTAAGCTTCCTCTTTTAATGACTCTGACGTTTCCTTTAAATTTCCATCTCCTATAACCGGTTCTAAAAGCTATTTAGAATTTGCTTTAATACCTTAAGAGTCTAGATAAATCTAGAAAAGATTATAAATATTGTCTTAATCAACTTAACTTATATTTGATAGCAAAATTAAAGTATCAACAAAAGAAATAATTTGATTTTTACTAAATTAAGGGCTTTAAGCAAGTTAATTATTTATTTATTATTCTATAAAATCACGAATTTTGGATTATATTTAATCATATGGAGATAAGTTATTCGTATTATTTAATTAGTTTATATTAAAGAAATTTCCATTTATTAAAATTGCATTTATTAAATCTATGTTTAGACCAACTTATTCTTATTCGTTTAATTTTAAACCACGCATTGTTGTTGCAGTTAAATAGCATTCATTTCCTTTTAAAACATCTACTTTTAATCTTCTTCCTAATCCTATATTTCTTTCTTTATTTATATTGTCATTTTTAATAAAAATAAATAATTTTATTTACCTTTAATTGAATTTAAAGCAATAAAATATGAACCATAAGTATTAGAAGAAACTCCTTTTGGATCAAATAATTTACCTATAAACATCCATCTAGACGAACATCCAGATACATGGTCAGAAAAAGAATTACAAGTTGCCTCTATATCTGAAGAATTTAAAAAACGAATACTAGATAGAATGTTTTATGAATCGCTTTAAGTATTAATGCTTGTATTATTTTCAAATTAAATAGGAGTTAATAAAATGTCAGAGTCACCAACTTAATCTTCAGCTATAGAAAGGAAAATTACAGGGCTTAATTAAAAAGCACTTTAAATAGCAGCTAAAAAACCTATAACTAAAAAGATTGAAAATATTCCAATTTTAAATGACCTTGGCTTTTTTTTAATATCTTATATTATGTATTGAAAAATTATATTAAATGTTCCTAAAAATGATTAACCTTTTACTTTTTATTAATTATATATAAAATTATGTAATTAATTCATTTAATTATAATTTTTTTTTTTTAAGCAATAAATAATTTTTAAAATATTATATTATATATTATTTAAAAAATTTTATTGTTCATAAAATATAATATTTCATTAATAATTAATTTTTAATATAAAATTTATAGAAAAAAAAATTATTATTTTTAATATATAAAAGAAAAAAAAATTATAATAAATAAATAAATTTAAATATAAAAAAAATACAAATATAAATTAAAAAAAAAAATATATATATATAAATATATAAATATATATATATTTTAGTTAAAATATATAAATATATAAATATTTTAATATTATATCTATATATATATATATTTTAGTTTTATTTTTTTTCTAATATCTCTATAATTTTTAATAACTTTAGTTTTTTTTTATTTTATATTATTTTAACTTTTTAATATATATAAATATTTTTACTTTAATACTAACTATCATTTTTTTTTTCTATTTTTCTTTTTATTATTTATTTTTTATTATACTATTTTTATTTTATATTTCTATAATTTTATATTATTTTTTAATTTTAATAATTAATTTATATATACTTTATTGCAATTTTTTTTTTTAATTCAATCATAGACTAAATTTGTAGTATATTTTTATTTGAATAATTTATTTTTTACAATATTTTCAATAAAATAATATATTTTAATAAATTTATCTTAAACTAATTATTATTTTTATTAATATTTAAAATTTTATCTCTATTATTTTATGAAGATTAAAAATAAAATATTAAATGAAAATAAATACTTTTCTTTAATTATTAGCTTTTAAAATATCTTTGGTTTATGAGTTAAAAAATAAATATCTTATATGACTGGATATATTTAAATATTGTGTTATATAAAATATTAATGAAAAGAAAAATAATGATATAATGATTATTAATTAATACAATTTTTAAGTATTTTATTATTTATTTTAGCAATTAATAAATATTTTATTGTCAATATAAAATTATTTATTTAAAAGAATTTGAAAATAATAATAACTCTTTTAAACCTTATTTTTTAAATAAATAAAAAGAAAGAAAAATATATATAACTTATATAGTATAATAATATTTGAATTCTGTAACATTTTATTGTAATAATTTATAAATATAATTAATTTCTAATTTTTGATTAAATAATTAAAAAATAGATAAATTAATACTTCTTAACAATACAAAAATATTTCTTCCCTTAATTAAGTAATTATTAGATTTAGTTCTTAATTCAAGAATATTATCATAATTTTAGTAAATAAAATTTACTATATATTGTTGATAAATATTAATATTAAAATACATCAAGTAAAATTACATGTAGAGATATCTTTTTTAGAAAGAGATATAAATTTTATTAATACATAAAACCTTAATATGAATTCAAAATTTAATTATTATTCTATTTTTAAAATTAAATGATATTTAATAGTTTATTCAATGTCTTATTCAAATTTTAATTTCAATAAAAATTAATTTAGAAATTTATAAAAAAGGATTTTTTCTTAAAATTTAATATTATAATATTAAATAAATATAATAAGTTTTTTAACAAATTGAAAAATAAATAAATTATAAATTTAAATATATAATGTTTATAAAATAATAAATATATAATAAATTTTACTAAAAAATATTCAAAAATTATATTATTAATATTTATTTTTATAAATAAACTTTATTCAAATACATTTTTTTTTTTATAATTCTTAATAAATAAGACCTTATATTTAATTTTTTTTATTATATTCAATATAAATGTTTTTTATTTAATATTATATTTATAAAATATATTTTTGTTTTAATATTATAAAAAGCAATAAATCATATTTAATATAAATATAAATGCTTTTTTAATGTAATTATTATTTAAATAAATTTTATTAAATTAATATATATTAAATATAAATTTTAATATTTAATAATATATATTCATTTAAATTTTAATTATAGCAATATTATAAATTGATTTTTTTATATTTAATATTTAAATTTTATTAATATTATTCTATATTTTATTAAATAAATTATATTTTAATAATTAAATATTTATTTAATATAAAAAAAAAACATTTTATATATTAATAATTTATAATTTATTTTAACTCTACTTCCTCTATATATATCATTAATTTAAAAATTTAATAATAAATCTTTTTTTAACGACTTTAAAAAATAAAAATAATAAAAAAAGATCAAATAATTATATTTATTTTATATAAAAAACTATCATTTATATATTTATTTAATTTTAAAAAAAAGAAAATTATAAAAATAAATATTAATAATAAAACTATTATCTTCAATAAAAAGAACAATGGATATTAATTAATAAAATGATGATAAAAATATTCAATAAATGGTACCCTAAACATTTATTGCTTCTGATGCTTTAATAAAAGAGTTTTGTAAAAATGAGATGATAAAACTGTAAAAAGAATGTGAATAAGAATCTTTTTAATAATAAAATGTAGAACAAGAAAAGAACTCTTTTTCTCAGTTAAATCTGAAAAACTAGTTATTATTTTTAAACTCAAATAGCAATAGCAACTAAGGAAGATGGAAAAAAGAAGAACATTTACGTTTTGTAGAAGGATTAAGCTTACATGGAAAAAATTGGAAAAAAGTAGAAGAACATGTGGGGACTAGAACTGGTGCTTAAATCAGATCTCATTCATAGAAATTTTTTAATAAAATAGAAAAAGCTTATAATAGAAAACTTTATAATTTAGTTTAATACTAAAGTAATTAAAAAGGAAATTAAGATTAAGGATTGATTTTATAAGAGCTATTTAAAAATAATAATGATTAAGAAAATAATTAAATTTATGAATAATAAAATTACAATAATCCTTTTTCGAATTCAAATTATATTTAATTTAAATAAAATTTATTTTCAAAAAAAAGTTAAGATGACATTAATAAAGGTTTAATTATATATATTTATTAAAAAAATTAAAATATGTATAAATTAAATTTAATATAAATTCTTTATTTTTTTATAAATAATCTTATTTTTTTAAAAGAAATATAAATAATAAAACCCTTCAATATTTAAAATGAGTAAATACATTCATCTGTAACAGAATAAAGTAAAATTATTATTTTATAATAAAGCATTATTTAATATATAAATTTAGATGTATAAAACTTATGCGATCTAATATAATAACTAAATACATTGAAGCCTATTATTAAAAATAATATTTAAAAGAAAGAATAAACTATTTTGTAATAAAAGAATAATATAAATTAATAATTTTATGAGTTAGATGAAACATAAAAATAAAATATATTTAATGCTTTTGAAGAGATAAGCAATAAATAAGTATTATAATAAATTTAATAAGATAACCTTTAAAACTATTAAAGCTTTTATAATTTCTTGGAAAAAAGATATGGAGATTTTTCAAATAAAATGGCTTTTAAATAAAATACTGAAAATATTTAAAATTTAAAAATTTAAAACGAGAACAGAAATAGTGATGAATAAATATATTAACAAAGATAAAGAAAAAGCTCTTTTTAAATTTATTCTAGTTTAAATTGTGATAAATTATAAAAATTAGCTTAATTAAGAAAAAAGTTCTGTTCTAATAAATAAGATAGTGCAAATGAAAATCAAGAAAATAAATTTTAGGATGATTAAATGGAAAAAACTTAAGTTTAGATTCTAAATAAATAAAATTTTAATTAATATTAAACTTGTATAGAAAATATAAATGACAAATATTAATAAAATAATAATCAAAACATTATAAATAGTTAATTTAATGAAAACTAATAAAAGAAATTATAAATAATTTAATTGACATGCTAAAAAGAAAAAATATCAGAAAATAGTAATACTTTTAAATAATGAAAAACTTTAATGAGCAATTTATTCAATTAAAATTCTCATAATATTGATAAGATAAATTTTTATTAATAATATAAATTATTTATTGATATATTATTTTATATATAAATCATATTTTCAGTTTTTATATATATATATATATATATATATATATATATATATATATATATATATTATATTTATATTTAGTATATAAAAAATACGTTATATGTTTTTTTTTTTTTATTTTTTGTATTTATTATAAATAAAAATATTTATTTTATTTTATGATTTTTAAAAAATAAATAAATACAAATATTATATTAAAAATTATTTTTTAAAATAAAAAATTAAAAAAAATAATATATATATATATATATATATATATATATGTATATCAATCAAATAATTTAAAAAAAAAAATTAAAATTCAAAATTAAATAAATGATTAATAATTATTTCCCATAACGATAAATTCCAGTCCCTATATAATAAGTTGATCCTTTTATGCTGCCATAATAATTACCTTAAAGATTTATTCCTTAATCTGTGCCTTTAGGATATATGCCCTAAGCAGTTAATTAAGGCTTTGTATCATAAACACCTTTGATGCCTTAAAGAAATTCCTAATATATAAATTCAGCTGAAATTTAGCAAGGTTAATTAATTCATAATCCACCACCACCACTTCCTCATTTTGGTTAATAAGTTCC